AATCGATGGGAAAATTGTTTCCGTTTACGGATAAATGGTCCACCCGACGAAAAGTCACATGTGCTAAGGAAAAATGGAAATAAAAAGAATATAAATATATATAAATCACATTTAATTTACCTTAAATAAATATTTCAGCGAGAAGAAATAGAACGAAAGAATAGAAGTATATATCTACCAATCTCTACTTCACGCTGTATTTTTCATTCTTCACTTCGCCTTATTAAGGTTAAAATAGATAAAGGATTTCTACTACAAATATTTACATTTATGCTGTAAAAAAAAAACATTTTTACTAGTGCTTCACCTTATACTCGAAAAATAATTTTATTCACTTCTTCTTATGTTAGAAGAATAGTCTAATCGATTTCTCCTTATATCTTATACATTTCTCTTCGGGAAGATAGATATGATTGATGCATTTCTAATCGAAAATATTTAGTGATGGGTTGTATCTCACTATGAAAACCGTTTCTGCTTGATTTTGTGTGAGGTAAAGGATTTCTGCTATAAGTGAAACAATTTCTCGATTTTGGGGGATATTACTCAACCCTCACGAAAGGATGGATTGATGGAAAGAAGGCCTTCACTCTCACACTCGGTTTGAATCTATGCCCTGGCCAGGAAAAAAAATTGAGTATAATACAATGTTCCAACGGTAATTTTCAGGAAGAAAAATGCTTCTTTTACGTTTAACCGTACTTATAAAAACCACGTTTTTTCTCTTTGTCCTCAATCAACGTCATTCAATATATCGTTCAAACGCGTTAGAGTGTACGCTTTCTTTTATTGAAGAATGAGTTTTTTTTTACAGGTAAACTAAATAAATTATCACATTTGTATTCTGAATAAAACTACCGTTAAGGCATAAATTTTGCAGTATCAGACTCAAAAAATATATTATTTAAACAGACTCACGATAGAGATGAATATTGTATAGCAAAATATATTTTAATTTTACGACACAGAAATAATTGTATAACAAAAAAAACCAAGTGTAAATGAATTAGAACAAGTTTAATTTGATCAAAGAAAATTTTCTTTTCTTAGTTTGAAAAGCTATACTATACGCTGATGTTGGAGTAGCAACTCAGTTAAGTTTCTTTTTGTACAACAATTCGATATACGATATTTTTTTTTTGATTTTTAACAAAATTTTTAATGATTCACAGTTGGAGTATTATGTTTATTATATATATTCAATTCATTGAAAGAGATTAGATTTGAAAAGAATAAAATAATCCATGTTTTGTATTGCCTCCACAGTACTCGACTCAAATTTATATATTTATAGCATTCATTCAACAAAAAATGCATTCTTCCATTTAGAGAATGCATTTTCTTTTTGCAAAGAAAAGTCGTGTTTTCTCTCTGCCCGGAACGTGTTCAGAAAAAAACGTTTTTAGGCAACAAAACACCTTAGAAAAGAACGGTAAAAGTATTTCCAAGACGCGTTGCATTTTTTTCAACAACGCATTCATGACCGTTCTTTTTTAAGTGGATAGTTTTTATTATACTACTTTCAAGTTTTGAGTTTGCTAATAGAAAGAGCATTAAACGTTGTCTCTGTAATGATTTGATAACATAATGAAGAGATACACATATATGACTTTTCGCATATTTCAGTATTTCAAACATCTCATATAACAAAAAGTTCGTAAAAAGAACGTCCGTAAACACGTTCTAAAAATGTTTTTACTGTTCTTTTGGAACGTGTTTTTATTGGCTAGAAATGATTTTTTTCTGAACGCGTTTCTGACAGAGAGAAACGTGGGTTTTTGGCGGATAAAATGCGTCGTCTGAAGGAAAAAACATGTTTTTATCCTTTTTTTTTACCTTTTTTTTCCCATGGGTGGTCGATCAAAATTGTTGGATTCAAACCTGAGTAATTAATCTTTTGCGGAAAGAGCCCATCGAGTCCAAAAATTTCTGCACCCAGACCTCGTCTATTAAAAAGTTTTAGACCTAGACTTGATGAATTCTAACTAGCACACATATAGCTTCTTTCTTTCTCTTAAAAAAGAATTTACAAACAATACAGATAATAACCATGCTCTTATTGTCTCCTTTTTCTGTCTCTTTGCATATTTTCTTATCTTCTGCTTTTTCAGCAATTAAATTGATGTATATCTATTTTTCTTGCTTTTATATTCCTTATATCTAATTTAGGAATTTATAATACCATAAGGAAATTAAGTCGAGTGTAAATAAAGACATACACAGTATTATTATTGAATAATTTTTTTTTGAACAAATTTATCTGATAGATCATACTCGCAGAGATGTTGAATTTCATCCAAAAAAAGTTCAAATTACTATTATAAAAAAGAAACAAGAATTTATCTAATAGAGTATATAGATCTAAGAGTATTGTGACATAGATGTAAGGATATGAGTATCAGTGTATAGATACAAGGATATGAGGGGTCCACGAGAATTTAAAGTTATCCTATTTTACTTTTCAATACATTATTTACTCCCTTTAGTGGCTTTAGTCCTTTTACTCCCTCTAGTCCCTTTACTCCCTTCAGTCCTAAGGGACTAAAGGAACTAAAAGACCGAATATCATTTATAAACAAGTAAAACTTGATATAAAAAAGTAAAACTTTTGTACAAAAAAGTAAAACAGGATAAATTTTATTTTTCGTGAGCCTATGATAAGGCTGCAGAAGTAAGGATACAATAAATAGTTAGAAGCAGATTTCTGTAGAAAAAAAAACCGTTGAAAGTCTAGCGAAAACATGGGAGGTGAACAAAACACCATGCGTTTAAAAGCAGCTTTTTGTTCATGGGTACGCTGTTTCTACTCAGTGTCATCATTTACGAGTAATTGAGTAGTCATGCAATCTTCTGGATAAATTTTCTAAACATAACATGCACTTCTCATTGGCATAAATATTTTATTATGTCTGTCATGTTATTTGCACAAGATTTGTTCATTCTCGAAATTTTTTTCCTATTGACAGACTAACAACATGATTTGAGTAATTTTTTTGTGACTATATATTTTTTTTGTCATATGCATTCCTTGAGTTTTTTTCTAGCTTGCAAATAAATAGAAAATTCCATTAGCTAAATTAATTACTGAACGACTAGTTTTAATCTATTCTTTGTATAAACTCTGGTCGAGCTAGTTTTATTGATCGTCCGTGTGAAAAAAAAGTAGGCAAAACTCCATTGTTTTTATTGATAAAGTGAATTAAGAATGTCGATTAAAGTAATAACCGATGAGCCTTTTGAAGATGTTTTTTTTTGCGTTTAAACTTACTTCACTATGAACAATTACTTCTAATAATAAAAAATAGTCTATAATATTTGAAGAAATAATTCTATATTTAATATTCCTGGGGCAAAAGTGGAAAAATAATGAAAATTTGATAATTTTAAACAGTCAAAATATTTTTTTTCTATTATAAAGTAACTTTTCACATTAATAAAGACATTTTAAACATCAAACATTAACTGAACAAGGTCTGCCTATTATCATTATAGTCGATTTTATTGGCCGACTTTATTAATAAGAAGTGGAAGCTACATATTATTTTTTTTTACATAAAGAGTGCCAATATTGAGATTATAATTGATTACATTACTATTGGTATTACAACATTACTCTAAATTAGATGTTTATCTATTTTCTACAGCTGAATTTCTGTCGAAACCGAAAAATAAATGTATCTATCGTATTTCATTACTATATCCGAAGGGTATTGCTAGCGGCGCTAGGACAGATCGTTACATGGACAAAACATTTCAATATTTCATTATGCTAGATATTTCTATATCTAAAGTTGACTCCTTAAAATATGATCTAAAGGTGTAGGTGCAAATTCAGAGTTCAGAGTGTGGGTATATGGTTTAGAGTTTGGGTGCCGAATTTGTGCTATTGTGGATATAGACCCAGCTGTGGGTGTAACTTGAGTACAGTGGAGAATCTCGTGTGAGTTAGTCTGGCTATAACTATCTACACTATACCCATTCCACGTCTACAGGTACATACACAAATCCACTCACACTTATCCACACCCTGCAACTACACTAGGGAGCTGCGGATCCGCGTTTTTATGGACCTGGACTCGAACATAGCTTAAAATTTGGATCCGAATCCAGCTGGGTCCAAACTCGAGATTTTTTCCATTAATGTCTGGCATCCTTCGTGTATATGAGCAAGTGAAGGATCAATCTCTTAGCTATTTATTTGCTACTCTCAGAAAAAAAACTGTGACGATATTGATATTACCTACTGCTGATCCTTCTTTCCTCTTTCTTCTTTCATTTCTATCTTGTCTCTACTCTCTCTCTCCTCCTCTTCTATATTCGAATATGTTATATATGAAGTAGACACATTCTGGAGATATGAAGTAGCTGAATAAACATCATTACCGAGGGTAATGGCAAGCTACTCATCCAGTTTGTCGTTACAAAAATCTCAACATGCAGTTATATCTTGTTGCTGTATTTTTCATTTGGAAAGCAGCGGATCCACAAAAAAGTGTAATTGGGCCCAACAAAAAATAAAAGGTTGGATCCGGATCCGAAAAAAAATAAAATTATGGGCTTAGATCCGACAAAAAAAAATAAAACTTTGGACCGAATCCGGTCGGGTCCGACTCTGGAAGGATCCGTAGCTCCCTTACTCACAGCCACATCTTTGCGTCATACTTTAAGAAGTCGACTTCTGATGTAGAAATATTGCAACGTTTTGTCCATGCAGCGATTTGTCCGATCACCTTTTTAACTGTAAAAATAATACAAATTTTTCTAGAAGCATTGTTTGATTCATATCGTGACATAGATTTTTATTTTCTCATAGTATTATAGTCTCATTCTTTGCTGGAGTTATACAACGTTTGGAAAAAATAATATCATCATCGTCATATTTTCTATTGGTAATGAAGCGATTAGTCATCGTCCTTATCATCGTATGTGCCTGGATAATATTCATCAGTCAGATGTATGTTTCGAACTCGAATAGAACTTCTACAGTTACTAAAACCAATATGACTAGTAAGCTTGTCACATCAGAGTCAAATTTATTTTCAGGGACGGGCGTAATAATTGAGTTTCGTTCTACTAATTATCTTGTTGCTATTATTCTAAATGTATTTCATAATATACCTTCGAATTGGAGTATTCAATTATTTCATGGACCGTCCAATTATGAATTCGTTATTAATTCGAGATCTCTATCACATTTTATAATAACTAGACGACTTATTTTAACTCGATTACCAGAATATACCCAAGCTAATCAAGGTCGTCATGCATATCTCAATCATATATTGACAAATACATCATTCTGGGAACTTGTAATCAATGTAGAAAAAATCCTTTTCTTTCAACTTGATACGACTTTTTGTTCAAATTCACCATATAAACTTTCTGATTTTCTCGAATGGGATTATATTGGAGCACCATGGCCTTATTCATGGACAAATATGACTGGTGGTTCACTTGTTGGAAACGGAGGATTTTCACTTCGTAGTCGATCGAAAACACTTGTATTAATCAAGACAATACCTTACAATAAATCAATCTATGAAGATCTTTACTTTGGAAAATATATGCCACTAGTTGGAGGTAAAGTAGCTCCACTTGAAATAGCAAAAAAATTCTCATCCGAAGGCCAACATTATGTAAATTCTATGGCTATTCACAAACCATTTGGTGATAATTATGGCCAAATATGTCAACTTTGTCCCGAAGCAAATCTTATTCCACCATTTTGTCGTCATCAACGTTCTCCATACGAGTTTTCAGCATGAATATTGTATCATTTTTATTTCAAGTACTTTTTCATTGTTCTATTTTTTTTTCTGTGATGAACATGTGATTAAAATAACAAATCAAGATGTGTCTATATTTTCTTGTATTTATAATGTTAGTTGTTATTGAAAACTATTTTTATGGTATTTGACACTGATACGAAATAAATTAGCTATAAGATAACTAATATATACTTCTGGAACCGAAAGTCAAAATAAAGATTCTTACTGTCCTGTCCTGTCCTGCAGAGTAGAACAGAAAATTTGATCTATGTCCAGCTCTGCTCTAAAATAACTCAAGAGGATCTCACTGCTAAGGGTGCTACGGAAGAGTGGATGTGAGTGTAGAGATGTGCATGCCGCGGTGGCATCACGACAACACTCATTTTTATTAATATCAATAATACTAATTGAATCGAATGCTCGAGTAGCAAATGAATGGCTGAATTGCATGTAACAGGCATATATTTCCACGTTCGATGAATATTGTATCCTTTTCTTTAGCTAATAAAACATGATCACATGAACTAATAATTGAATATGAGTCGAAACTTGGTGATAGAAAAAATTCATGGCTTTGATTTACTGCTTCAACAGTGTTCGAGTGAAATGTAAACTTACATGTCTCAATTAACATTTCCTTTGCTGTCGTATAACTCAGCATTAAATTTTGCTTTACACATTGTGAATAAAACAACTCAGTTTACGAATAATTTAACAAATAAATTAAAACAGTGAAAACAAATCTTACCTATAAAACAATTTCGAAGTATGAGATAAGGATTTTTTCTAGAATGTGCCAGAGACAATGCAAATATCGTTTATCAGATGAATAGAATTTACTTATCAATCTCATATTCCATTGAAATAGTCTTATTTTGAAAAAAAAAGAGCATTTTGCTCAGAAATAAATAACAATGATCATTTTATTTTTACATTGTAAACAAAGAATTACAGATATTAGTTTTTTTAGCATTAAAAATAATTTTCTTTGACTAAGCTTCAAATGAACTAGAGCTAGACTTTGAACAAACACCTAATCTTAAATGTATTAATATAAACAGGTATGACTGTGGATTCGGATGTGAGTCTTCTCTTCTCTAATGCATCCGTATCCATCCTTAGTTCTCAATAAATATATATAAAAACAATAGATCAATATATAGGATGATTGAACATTTCAAAACAATGTCACATTTTTCATTACCATGTGAAAAACTATAAGTGCGATCCCTGTGGAATTAAAATGTAAAACATGATGTAGCTGTTGTTGCTATTCACAGACAGTTTATTTTATTCTATCTATATTCTGGGATACATTTCTTCACCATCTTTTCAGTTAATCTTCTAGAAATGTAATAAAGAAGTAGCTTATATATACGTAACGAGATGTGATTGATGGTATATCAGCAAAGTCTGTGATACAGGAGGGCAAGCGTTACTAAGGTGTCTGGCACGGTCTGTCAAAATAAAGATCCACTGCAATAAATATTTATTAAGATAATCAACTGCAACAATTTTTTCTTTATTTAGTTTTATTTCCTCTGTTAGGTAAAGGACACTCTCGTCTTTTTTTTCTTAATAATTCATAATGACTAGTCACAAAACGTCGTGTAAATTTAGTTAATTCATCCCAATTTTCATCATGTATTAATCTGTCTATATGTTGATGAATATAAAATTCATCAAGTGCATACATTTCATCAGGTTTAATATAATGAAAATTATTTGGTTCAGGTTCATTATGAAATTTTGAACGTTTTTCTTCAGCTAATGTAAATGCTGGTGGATGTGCCCAAAATCCAGCTTTTTTTATTAATTTAACATCTAATTGAATAGCAAGACAAGTAAGTGCAACATCTGATGCGTCAGATTTACGTGGCCAAATATTTTCAACATAATTTGTTAGATGTGGTTGCATTATTTCAAGTAATTTTATACTAAAAAAAAATCCTGCACCACCTGATGGAAATTCAATAATAAATGTTCCACCATTTTTTCTTGGACATGTATGTCGACCTGTATGACCACCTAATAGAATAGGTTTTCTATAATCTAAACCATCAAGACGTTTAAGTAAATGATATGGAATAATAAATGTATCACAACCAGCTATATAAAACCATTTTTGTCGTTGATTTACAGAAAGATTCATTTGTTGTTGATAGATTATTTGTAGACCATAAAAAAGTTTTTTTACATTTGATAATTTATTTTCACCAGCATCAGATATAACAGTTACAGGTAAGTAAGGATAAGGAGTTGCACTAAGAAAATAATAATTTGTTATACGTGAAAGCCATGTATCACGTGTTGCTGTTGCTCGTGTATGATAAAATTTCGAAGATGTAAAAATAACAAATGCAATCTCATTTTCAGTATATGTTTGAGCATTGAACCATTTATGTTGTGGAATAGGTACTATATTACAATATTTTTCTAAAGAAATTTTTCGATATATATCAAATGAATCATTTGATGGTGTTGTTGATGAAATTGGAAATCGATTAATATTTCTATTATTACAGATATAACTTTCAAATGGTTTACGATGAACAATTGTAGTTATATTCGTTTGATTAGATAGATTTTGCTGGGCTAACTTGAATATAGATGAATTTTTAATAAGTTGAATTTTAATGTTAGATGATATATTCATGCGTAAACCAATTATAAATGAAACAATGATTAAAATAATGAAACAACTTATTAAACAAAAGTCTTTTTTTGATAATAATTTACATTTACAAATAGAAACCATTATGAATATAATCTTAAAAAAAAAATAAATTAGCTAAATTTACAGATAGTTATTAAAAATAGAGAAAAATCGACAAAAAACATGTTGTCTTATAATTAGCATAGGATGAAGTAGTTGTTACTATAAGTTCGATAAATACATATTAATTTACATGAACTCGGGTAGATCTCCATTTGAAATTATACACAAAAATAGGATGTTGTATTGTGAACTTTTTCACTGTTGAAAATGTTTAATAGGAATGTAATCTTAGTCGCTGACATCAAAGGAAAATTTAGGTAGATTCTAGTTAACCTGACTCAAATTTTTCGTACAGTTCTTCTTCACTTTTAAAGCAGAATTTCCATCTCAATTTATTGATGATGTATGATGCAATATTTACTTGTACAAAACTTAATGTTTCCTCAAAAACATTTGCTAACGATGGAATCTTTTCAGATGCTCCCCTCGAGTTTCAATCTTTTTTTTGTCTATAGATACTGTTCAATGCTCTAGTAAAAAAAACCCTCAAGGATTTGGGTTTCTATCACTTCTTTCAAAAGTTATGAACATTTTAATTTTGCCTCTATAGTGCATAATATACAGTGTGGGTCATAAATAGCACTACAATAAAAAAAAATGAAACATTTCTGCATCGGTTTAATCAAATTAGCTGATTTTTTGATTATTAGTAGAAATTTATTCAAAGCCTTTTTTCATACAGATAAGTTAAACAAATACATATTTAGCATTACATAAATGATTTTGAGTTGTCATCTAAGAGAATAAGAAGAACAAGTAAAAAAACACGAACTTTATGAATGATCCTATATTGATGTACATATAGCAAGTTTTCAAAACTAGCCAATTTTAATACTGAAGTTCGTACTCTATAAGTAAGACGCACAATTGCAGCTCTTTGGTTATCAAAACACCAGTTCTCTTGTAAAAACTTGTATTCTATGTTTGAAAATTCAACATTTTGTAATCGTTGACTTTTAAACTGACTAGTTTTGAAAACTTGCTATATGTATATCAATACAGAATCATTCATAAAGTTCGTTTCTTGACTTATTCTTCTTATTCTCTTCGGTGACAACTCAAAATCATTTATGTAATGCTAAATATGTATTTGTTTACCTTATCTGTATGAAAAAAGCTTTGATTAAATTTCTACTAATAATCAAAAAATCAGCTAATTTGATTAAACCGATGCAGAAATGTTTCATTTTTTTTTATTGTAGTGCTATTTATGACCCACCCTGTATGTTATGCACTATAGAGGTAAAATTAAAATGTTCATAACTTTTGAAAGAAGTGATAGGAACTCAAATCCTTTAAAGGTTTTTTTACTAGAGCATTGAACAGTATCTATAACCAAAAAATCATTGACATTGGAGGTGAATACCTGAAAAGATTTCCTCATAAGTCTACCTGGTCAAATCCATCAGTCCAATTGACGAAAAAAACTGTTTGAGCCTACAGCAGCCTATGAAGTGTGAATCTAGGGTAGGTTTTTGCATTATCAAGTCTTGTG